TCACCTGCTCACTAGTGACTGACTTCGGGAGACACTTCTGGAGTTCTAGTGAGAAGTCGTTACCAGTGGAGTTCAACCAGGTCTGTTGTGAGATAGGAACTCACTGAAGACAATGGTGTACGGTAGCGCAACTTCGTGATAGGTCTCATTGCCAACTGAAGAGCCTGCTTATGCCATAGGCTAACTAAACCATCAGAAACGACATCCAGCCTAACCTGCTTGAAATAGAATCGATGATCAAAGAGTGTACGACAGCAGAACTAGATTACAGCACGTTTCTAGTCTCATCGGGAGGGTTAGTCAAATGCAACGATAGCCTTCGAACGGCTCAAACAAGTGTTACAAGCCACGCAAGAGATTAAGTCAGTCCCCATGTGTGCACCTACTTTCCATGAACAGCTAAATAAACACTTGGTGATATCGAAAATCATTTTATCTACTCAGATGCTGTTATTAAACCACTTTAAACACCATATGAGGGACTATATCGCATCATAGAACAAACGAGAATATATTTCATCATTGAGAAGAGTGATAAGAAAAATATTTTCTCTACAAATGAATCGAAACACACCGGTTTAGACAACCAGGAAGAATAAGAAAACGTCCTAACAAACAAGTTAGCTAAACTTCCTGTTCTATCGAAGCCAGAACATGATACCAACCTATTCACAAACCCTTCGTGCACAACTCGTGGAGTGGTTAAGCAGCCTGAAGTCTATGTTCACTTTCCCATTTAGTTGTTATACAAACTACCCAGTCTGTTTTGTTTGGGCTCATTAGGGGTTGCTGCTTCTCATGCTCACTGCTTCTGTGATCAGTTTCAGTCACAGTTTGGGAAGGACAGGAGGCCCGATGGCCTGTGTTAGTCCTGGCAATGGTGGTCCCTCAGTTGATCCAACTTTCTTTTGAAAGAATCGACGGATGGAGTCTCAACCACGTGCTGAGGTAATGAATTCCACTCGTTGATGATTCGGTGGGAAAGTCGATAGTCAGCTGACAAGTAATTTGTTCTTGGCTTGTGAAGTTTTTTGGAGTGTCCTCGTAAATTCTCTGTTTTGGAAGACAAGAAAAATGTGGGCATATCAGGTGCAAATTCAGCACTAAGCAGTTTGTAGACCGTAATCAAGTCGCCCCTAGTTCTGCGATATGACAACGGGAAAAGGTTCAGCTTGGCCAATCGAACTTCATACGGAAGCTTCGCTATTCCGCGAATCAGCTTAGTTGTTGTTCTCTGAACCTTTTCCAGAAGCTCACTGTCTTTTTTAAACAGGGGCTGGCTGCTTGCATGCAGTACTCAAGTTTAGGACGTACGAACACTGTATACAAAGTCAAAAACGTCTTAGCGTCGACATGACTAAAAGCCCTACGTATTGATCATAACGTTCTAAAACCTTTGGCGGCTATTGTACAGCAGTGTGCAGTAGTCTTTAAGTCTTGGCTAACGATGGCTCCTAAGTCATTATATGTCTGGACGACTGGTAGCTCAGTGTTATTTATCGTGTATGTATCTGTGCCTTGATGACTGATATGCATCACAACACACTTGGAAGTGTTTATCGGCAACTGCCAGGCTTGAGACCATTGAGATAATTTCTTCAGGTCATTTCGGAGTTCTCCATATCTTGACGTCGTCAGCATATAGCAAGACCGATGATGACAGGAGACGAGGAAGGTCATTTACATACAAGAGGAATAGCACTGACCCCAAAAGTGGGGCACTCCACTAAGCACAGTTTCCCAGCTAGATAACTTTGAGTTCACCCGAACTCTTTGTTGACGCTCAACTAAGCAGTCTTTTATCCACATAAATAGATTGCCTCAAATTCCAACATTTCCTAACTTATATAACAGCCGGTTGTGCGGAACCTCGCCAAAAGCTTTGACGAAATCAATAAAGGCGACGTCTACAGGTAACTTTTGGTCCATAAGAGCGCACCAGCTTTCACGAGCCACTAATAAGTTAGTGAGACAAGAATAACCTATTCTGAAGCCGTGCTGCTTCTCCGAGAGGATCCGGTTTTTATCGAGATACTTAAACAGCTCCTTCCGAATAATCTTTTCTAAGATTTTAACAACCACACTAGTTAGGCTAACGGGGCGGTAATTCTCAGGTTGGTGTTTCATACCTGTTTTGAAGACAGGACTTACTATGACGTTTTTCCAGTCTTTTGGTAAACGACCCTGCGTTACGAATAGGTTAAAGCATATACTTAAAGGGTTCGCAACGAAGTTAGATAATTCATTCAGTCGCCTAGGATGTAATTCATCGGGCCCCGTGGATTTACCTATGTCAAGCTTATTTAGTAGACCAAAGACATCGAGTTCTTTAATGGTCACGCTATCCAGTGTATGTATGGGGGGATCTGTATGCGCTGATGGGAAGGGTGCTTCTATGGTGTATACATTGCTAAAGTAGTTTGAGAACATTTGAGCCTTACTAAAGTCGTCCTCCACTAGTGACGCGGCAGTACTGTCTCCCCATAGAGCAGGAATATTTCCTCTTCTCTTTGTCCTTTGGTTTATATAAAGATACAAACGTTTAGGACATTCTATGGATTCCTTAACAATCTTTTCTTTGTACAACTTTCTAGACTTACGGAGGGTCGAGGCACAGGTATTCCGGACTTTTCTGTACTGGGATTTAGTTTCATCAGTCCCCAGTAACCTAAATCTATCCCACATTTTTCTTCTCTTACGGAGAAGGATGTGGACCTCCCTACTGAACCATGGTGGGGTGTTTCTCGGTCCCCTTGGTATAGTCCAAGGGATGTGGGGTGTGGTAACTTTTAAGTATGAATTTCGAAATACGTCCCAGGCCGTTTCAACTGAGGACTCTGGGTCTATTGTCCAATCTATTAACTATGCTGAGTGCATGATGATTGGTATATTTACTTTCCAGACGTTAGGTCTGGATTGGGCTGATTCGTGCTCGTGACTGACAGTTATATGGAAGTCGAAAATTAAAACTGCGTGATCACTTTTACCTGGGGGTGGCATATAATGAAGGTTCGCAACGTCATCCACATAGTGAGTATCAGACCTAGTAAGGATGATTCAGTGTTCGGGTCGTGCCTAGTCGCTTCTTTCACATGTTGTACTAGAGCACATATGATAACCTCATCAACTAGTTCCTGCTCGAAAGAATTCTCCGACGATTTGGTTCGCAGATTTTCCCAGTCTACCATAGGTGCATTAAAGTCCCCTAGGATTGGACATCGACCACTTTGTGACCAAGTTTTAAGACTGCTCAGCAGGACTTCATTTACCTCACAGCTTGGACTGCGATAGACCAAACCAATCAGCAGCTCTTGTGCCTTGCATTTCAAGCGGAGACTAACTAACTCACACGTCCCACTCTCATGGGATACACTGTTGATAATGGCAAATGGGATAGCATTCCTAATGAATAGAACTACTCCCCCTCCTCTACGCTTTTGTGTTCTGTCGGCTCTTACTAACGTAAAACCCTAGAAATCAAGTTCCATACTATCTATAGCCTGTGTCAGCCAGGTATCTGTCTGGCTTTGTAGAGTCAATCTGTACACCTAGTTCCGATCGCTTATTAAGTAAGCTTCGGGCATTAGTGTAGCAGATCCGAAGCCTATTTAAGTGGCTTCGTGCTTCACCCAGAGTGGCTTCGGCATCATTCTCTGTCGAAGTCTTACAACCCGAAAATTTACAATTTCCAGGTCTTTTTCGCCAGCGTCTAACCTAAGTTGTAGTTCTTTCTCGGCTTCCCGTCTTTTAACACGGTCTGCCAACGGTAAGTCCTTTCGTATAAACACTCCTGAACCTTTTAATTTGTGTCCATTCTGTAAAACCAGGTCACGTTCGTTCGAAGAGTTAAATAATACTTTAAGCAGTCTGGAATGATTTGATTTCAAGTCCGCTAGACTCCCTAGTCTGTACACCTTTAGCAAGGTGATCCGGTGATATTTTGAGGCATGAGTTGATTAAGCAGCTGCTTAATCAGCACAATGTCATGTTCAAAACGAGCTTTAGGTTCAGAGCTCTTGCTCTCCTTGATTCTATGAAAAATAGCTAATCTGTCGCTATGATCAGCTTTCGACTTTACGACTACTTTCGCGGGGGTAGGATTACCTTTTATATCGCTACTTTTTTTCTTCCTTACACTCTGCACCCACTCGTCAACGGTGCTGGGAGAAGCAACAACAGTTGCGTCAAACCTAGTGTTGGATTTTGGGGGTTTGTCGACGACCTGAGAGGTCAGGTTATGTTCACCGCTTGAAACCGATCGAGCCATGCGATTGCGGCTTCTAGGCGTTTCCTGTGGGATCCCATCTGGGAGACGGGGAACAGAAGAACCTACTTTCCTTGACCTTTAGTTTAAGGCAGGTCCCTTTGGAGACTGCTTTACCCTCTTTGTCCGGCGCGAGTCATATACTATCGAACTAACCTTAGTTTTTTCCATGTCGATTTGTGTGTCGACAGATCAAGTGCTGTTTGACGTGTTCCGACTACGCTTGCTAAAACACTTCTTTGCAGTATCAACCAGTGAGATGGCCTCGGTTAACAGGCTGTTTGCATCCGAACAGCACTGTTGAGTTATTTATCTAAATAATTTATCACCGAGTAGCGACTAATTTCCGTTTGTGAAGTCGTTCCTAGTGCTGATCGAAATCTATCCACGGGAAGTCCTGTCGCGTACTCTCAACCACCCACATATATAATTTAATTGACACTCCCACATACATTTAAGCACGTGTATACGTATATGTCAGCTCTACATGTGCGGATCTTTTATTTTTACTGCCAGTAATCGATTTAATGTCGTTTTAAGGAGTGTATCTAGCTACAAAGTTTATTATCTGTTGTCATCGATCATCACTTGTTGACTTCGTTGAACAATGCTCACATATTACATTGACTACCATCAACAAAATAAATCGCTTCGTAAGTCATGTCTAGTTCTTCCCCAATTTATGTCATATCAGCGTATATTTAGTAAATCTATACACTGACCTTGCAGCTTGAACTTTAAACTGGTAGACCAACCCAGTTACTGTTTTCAAACAAGGTTTGTGACCTGTAGGTTTGTTGTTTCTTTTACATTTGTTTCTTTTGTCGCTTTCTATTTCTAATAATAAAGCTAGCGCACATGCACAGTAATTGTATATGGACCAGGATCTGCAAGAAAACGGTGTTTATGCTCATGTTTGTCTTAATGAGACCCACGTAGAAGTTACTTTATTCTTGAATTCATGTTTCCGAACTCAGCTCTAAGTTCGCTATCGAGATTTGTTTAAGGTATCAACTAGGGAAATTTCTGCAGCCAAACCAAACCCGAAATACAAAGTGCTTTTCATGGGGGTCGGTTTGGTCACTGGGTGTAACACGTCACGCTGTATGGAATGTCTATCGGATTTTTCGGTCCTGCTCCTGAGTTGGGAACACCCAATATAGTTTTTTTCTTAGACTTGAAGAGATAGAATACCTTTCGATGCTAAGACTACCAATCCCCCACTTTCAATAATCTGACCGTAGCTGCTACGGTGACGTGGACGCAAGTAGACCGTAATATCACTCGTCGTTGGAGAGACTGGTGAAAGACCCCGTTGAAACGGGTGTTTGGAATGGTCACGTCGTAGTACGAGGATGCATTTATCCGGGTTTTACTTGACGTGGAAACGTCGGAAAAAGAGGACACATTCGTGACAAGGCCAAAGTTGGCTAGAATCATCTGGTGTTAGAAAAAGTAAATTTGTTGATCAAGTCCGTCGTTCAGTCGTAAGCAATAGTTATAAATGTCAGATGACACGTCTCGAAATCAATTGCGTTATCTCAATGCCATTCCTTTTCTCCAAACTTCAATCTCACTCATTTCATCTAACCTACATTTCTCATTTCAGACTGCGATTAATATTCTCACCCCCTTGCTTTTATCTTACTAGTTTTTTCTTGCTGTGCTGATGTACAGCATAGTGGCTTAAATCGCTACATATCCGTGCTAGGTTTAGGGTCGTCTATGATTGCTATTTTGAACTCTGCTGTCGACTATGCATGTACGTCATGGTAAAAAAGTCACAAGCAAGACAGTTGAACCAACCCCAATGAGGTACATGTAAAAATTAATACTCTTACCACCATAACTACAACTGAGCAACTTCAATAAATTTTATACTCCAAGTTGCAAACATCAATTACTGTCTATTTTTCAATTTATGTAATAGAGTTTCTTTGATATCACTGCATTGTATAATTTAGAGCAATTTACTCCCGAAAACTAAAAGCTTTTTAAAACTGAATATCTGTACTTTAAATATGGTACATTTGTGCACAAGACTTCGTTTAATTATAATTTCTTTAAGCTTATGAAGCGGTATCTCATTGACAAAAGAGTTCCCATTTCTTTCTACTTAGATCTACAGATGAATTATGGCTTCGCGGCATGTTCCCTACACAGATATTTCAGATATGGGACGGGCAGCTCAGGAGGTATCTATTATTTCGAGTTGCTTGCTCATCCTTATATAGACTGAAATACAGCGTGCTGCCAATCAACAGCTTATTGAAGAAGGTAGAATAATTAAGCACAAGGAGCTTGAAAAAATGAGACGCGAAGTATGTCTTGTATATTCCAGTTTGATAAATTCATTTTAAGGAGGAAAGTAAGGATGACAGTAGTAGTGAGCGTCCTGACGTTATCATTAAAGTAAGTCCTTCCTATTGCTTTTACAATTAGTTACAATCGTATATATTTTAATTTTCTGCATTAGGATTTAAGCTATAGCACCTAGTCTCCACCCACTAGTTACGAATATTTCCTGATCGGTAGAGTTTTCTAGTTTCTTGTACGGCTACCACCAGCAGTTCATGACTTCATGAGCTGATGTTATGTATTGTTCTATTCACCTTTTACCAACGTACTTCCACACTATATTGCTTATTATTGGTTTGAAACTTCCAACTTTCATTTCCCATGTATGCGTTTTTCATGTTTATGTGCTTGTAATCGTATTTCATTAAGAAACTAACAACAAACCATTCAGGAATCAATTTAAGGTTGTGTTGAGCCGAACTTGTTTTGATTAAAAAGGGGATGAAAGGTTGTCTTTGTTTCCCTCATTATATTGTGTGTTGAAACGTTTGGTGATATAAGCTTTTTTAGTCTTGCCTATTAGTTAGTTGTTCTTTTGTTTTCATGGTGCAAATGTACCGATTACTCATTAATCAAAGCGGGTCTTAAAAAACAATATTTACTGTTTATCATGCCACGTAGATTAATAATGGAAGCACTTCACGCCTGAGTAGTCAGCGTTCTTCGGCCGATTTAGCATCATCAATCAGCTCAAGGAATTTGGATGCACGTGAGCTACGAGCCCAGTTACTGCAGTTGGAAGAAAAGGTTAAGGGGGCAATGTTATCAAATGTTCAACTAGACAATGATAAACAACTTTTGAAGTAGGTACTTACAATGTAAACTATTCTAATTATTACCGTTTAAGATAGTAATTTATGAATTGATTGCTTCCAGGACCTAACACTTGATATTTATCCACTCTGTCGAATTCATATATATCGGTTGGTGCACAACTTTCCTCGGTTATGTTTTAGTGTTAGAGGGTATCAATGAAATCTAAAATGTGCTCTCCGATCGATTTGTGGCTAATGAGGTGCCTATATCTGGTTCATTGTAAATGTGTTTTAATGTGATCTTTAAGCACTATAGCGTTGCTTAGTTGAGTGTATTACTAATACCTAGATGTTGAATACTTGGTGATTGATTATTTTGACAAAAAAACGAGTGTACTATTTAAACAATAATTGTTATTTAATATATAAACACTTGTGCGCGATCCTTTCGGTTGATTTGATTTTGCCTGAAATACCTATGTGTATCCTTTTACCATACCATAATAGCTCAAGGGTGAACCGGTAACACGTTCATCAACGATAGTCTCGCTAACAAATTCCTTCTGCTAGGCTTGTTTGATGAGTTTGGGGGAATTCGTTATGTTACTTATTTTCGAAATTGTTTAAAAGCCTCCCAGTTTTCCAAAATTCTGCTCCTCTCACTTGTTATGAAAGCCCAAAGTTGGTTTTAGCCCCAGTTAATTTTTCTTATTGTATTCGAAATTAACTCGAACGAGTCTTTGTACATTAACTAACCTAGGTGATACTTCAGAGGTCAACTACTTTTATTACCCACTCGTAGATTTCCTTTCTTCACACCACAGTATGTGTCTTCAGGCTAAATTAGTATGAATATGACTTGTGTGCTTCATTCATTACTCAATTACTTCATCTTTAAGTACATATTCACAAATTAAGAATGGGGAGCTTTAGGTATGTTATGTTTACTAATTCTGATACAGATGCACCCAAATGTGCGTCTGGTCATATATCCAGCTTCCACATATTCCAATCATCTACAGTTCTTAATATCTATATCTTAATGTATTTCCTACTCACGTATTAAAATCGCTCATTGCAACCACTATAGTTGTTCGTCTAACCTTTTGTAAAAGGTTATGCAGTATTTAATAAGGCCTATCTTCCACTGCTGCAAACGGTAATCTTGTGTCGTGGTCTTCGGTTCTGGAGAACAGCACACATGGGACTTCTGGTTGAAATTTGGTTGACAGCTGTTTTCGATCCTTAGTTTCAATACAGTTCGTATGAATGCTTGTTCAAGCAAATCTACCATCAGCTACTCAAATATCTGTGGGGCTAATTTTGCTGATTCATCATAGTGGTTAATTGAATTAACGTGATCAAACATTTAGAGTAGTGGCTACATTACAGTTTGATCAATATAATTTGATAAGGACTTAATGGAGCAGACAAACATGACATTTTCACTACTCAGTGGTTGATTAGTTGTAAACATCCCAAATCTTTTATTCATTTATTTAAACACATAAAAGTTGGTACAAGGAGCCACCAAATAAATATACGCCACAAGTCATTCAATTTGTGTGTGCTGGGTTACTATCCGGGTGCCCAGACTGAAGCAGGTGGTTTTCTCAGGAGGCCACATCTGGAGTCTTCGACCTAAAGGTCTGATCCACAAGGCAGTGCAGCAACGTCAGGAGATGCAGTTCAATGGTAGCCGGTGACCAACAATAGGTTCACACGCCATTTATTCCTTCGAGATACTGGAGTTCGTGTGCACCATTGGTTTGAAATCAGGGTTTTCCAACTCTCCTAGGTGGACTCTTTGTGTCCACCAACCCGGTTAAAGTACCGGACATTCTCTTTTCGTCCTCTCAATTTCGTAAACAACAGTAAATCCGCGAGAAGGCAGTGAGTAGGACTTCCCTGGCAGTGTTTGTATGTACATGGCTATGTGAAGGAGGGCTGACTCTTCCTACTCTCGGCCGTACCAGGGCGTTTAAGGGCTTAACAGGTCAGTCGCTGCTCGACGACAACGTCTCACTATGAAACTAGGTGACGCGGTTTCGAATCCTACTGGATCCATCATAGTCACATGCGATGTGAAACAGTGCGTCTGTTCAAGCTGCTACATCATATTAGCTCAACGAAATAAAATTATCAAGACAAATCATAGATCGGTAAAAGAAGTAGCAGAAAATATCAGGCACATAGAGGAATACAAAAGATGTATGGTGATTCCAGGGTTTAGGAACTTAGGGAAGTTAAAGGGTTAATGCACCTGTGTCATTGCGAATAATTCTGAACCATATTCAAAGTTCAACCAATGGTTACGATAGTCGTACGAATCCCAGCCAGGTAATCTGTACCTATCTACATGGCTCGTTGTAATAGTCAGTGACTTAGTGGGCTGATGCTACATTTTGTTTAGCCTTCCCTATCTTTCGTCCAATCTATTACACCATGCATCTTCGTGCGTCGAGGTAGGTGGTATTTGGACATACGTAATACACATCTCAACCACCTCAGTTGATAAAGATTAATTGTCTCACTAACCGACTTGTCGTCTTTACCTAGTAACGTATACCAAACTTCACCATTATTCACTCATTGGTCCCAACATACACAATGCAAAAATGGGTCTATATTATAAAGTAGATCGATATAAAAAGACTAATTGTGAAAGAATTTTAAAGAATCATTAAATTGCAGTTGGTTATTTGTTGGTAAAATAATATGAATATACTAGTATAGAGAACTGGTAGACATGGTTAGACGTAATACACACACCTAGAATCTGCCCACGTTTTTTTTCAACTGTTTAAATAAACGATCTGTTTTCTTTTTGCTTTCTACTTTATCAAGGTATGAAGTTGATTTGCTCAAAGATAAATTGGAAGATCTTACAGATGCTTATGCTTCTTTGAACAAAATCTTCTTAGAAAACAAACGGGTTTGTTATCACTGGCATACTTTGATAAACATTTTTTTATATTAATATCGGCGGATTTGTGTAGATCGTAGAATTTTCATAGTTCAAATCACAAACTGCTTTTAGTTAGACAACCCTAACCTGGATGGCCGTTTCGTCCTAGTCTGGGACTACTCGGCAGTGCGTACCCACGACCTTGCATCCGGGGATCGAACCTAGGACCATTGGTCTTACGCGCATATTCTTAACCCTTAGACTACTGAGCCAGGAATCAATGATATGGAAGTCTAACTTCAGTCAATTCACGATATTACACAACCCTCATCTATTGCCTAGCTAATGACTAAGTTCAAGATGAAATTCCTAGAGTTCTAGTAAGAGGCCGTGACTAGTGAAGTTCAACAATGTCGTGTGTGGAACAGTTATCCACCTCATGCAACGAATGAAAGTTGCACAGTACATTTTTCCTAGTCGTTCAATGAAAACTTATTTTTTCTTGATGTAACAATATAACGTGATTAGTATAATACTTGGTAAATTGTTGATTGTTACATCTGAAGATTTAATTCTAACTTGACTTATTTCAGTACATGTAGATGAGTAACATTGTTAACTGTTGGATAACATTGTGAATTCTTGTTTACAATATGTTATTCATGGTGTACTATGTTCTGTCCCGACTGTTTCTTCTGTATTAACGATTATTACCAAGCCTCATATACACCTTCGCGCAAATGATTTCAACCGACAGATTTTTCTAGCTCTCACAAAAATTACTTTATGCTTGAATTTTTATTCTGTGGATATATAAAAAGCGGATTTAAAACAAATATGTATGTTTTTACGAAAAGATTACGTCAAATACTTGGAGGTTTTAAGTTCATTTCACTGTTTAGTCAGTTATTATACACATCAACATCAAAGAAAACATGTGTGTTGTGTTACTGAATTACACACTTGGTTCACGCGGTTAGATCATTCTCAACTCTAAGTAGGGATGTTGAAGCAACAGCTTTTATTCTATGTATCGAGAATACTCTCAACCGGTTATGTGAAATTAAAGTGACCTATTTAACACTTAAAACGGCTTGGCACTGTGTCAATGTGTTTAATACTAAACAAATGAAACTAATAAAACACCTGAGTGAGAATAGTTTTACTAAAAGTGATTAGCCAAATATGTATTATTTCTGTATAAAGTTAATATTTATCCGAGTCATTTAAAGCATTAAAATCTTTCTGACTTGTTGGATTGTTAGAAATCACAACAGATAAATATAAACGTATGTTGATAGCTTTAACCTTATACTGTTCTATTTGTAGATATTATCATCCTACATATTTGAACCTTTTTTTCGCTTCAAAGCCATTCTTTTTTGATACCACATGGTTGTAAGTAGTTAATCGAAGGCTCTGAATCTAGGTTTCATGTTTGTTCCTGTTATAACGTGGAAAATACTGCTGATTAAGGGGTAGCGAATTATTGATCGGACCAAAGACGCACAAACACGTAGAACGACCTAGGGTTCTGATTGGCCCCGCCTCCCTGTCCAGCCCAGTCAGTTGAGTCCAGAACACAAGTCACAGCCTCTGAGTTATGAATCCTTATATTTCAAACATACTTTGTTTATATACCAGTCAAGCAGACCACATCGTACGACAAGATAGAAAATAACATTGTACAATATTAACCAGTAGGAAAATGACACGTGAAATAAGTACTGACCAATAAGTAAATAATACCATCTCCAAGTCCAAGAATAGCATTAGACTTAATAGAATAATTTTTGGGATATTTCCCTGAATATCCCAACAGTTCCTAAAGTTTACCTGCTTTGATTCTCCGCGCCGTCTTCAAACCTGAATGATTCAGTTTCATATTCAAAGGCGTTAACACTAAATTACATAAATTACAACTGACCTGTTATACTTAAATGCTTATATTAGCCGATCACTTAGTGATAACTAACATCATGTTTGTGTAGTCCTAGGAGTATTGATCAGTCCTTGCATTGACCTACTCACTTTAATGGGCTATGAGTATTCACCTTGGTTCCTATTATTCATAGTTTTGTATGATTCCACTATTTATCTATCCGATTTTCTCTCTGTCGTTCACACCCATACATATTTCTAACTCTTAGGAATTGGCGTATCAAAAAATGCAAATTGTTGAATTAACACATCGTTTGGATTATGCACGTCATCAAATAGAGGCACGTGATCAACTAATTGTTGAACATGGTTTAGTATTAGTTGGTGGCACAAATGTAGATGACAATCCGACGTCTAACATGGAGGAGTTAACAGCAACCAATGCACATATGTCATCTACGAATAAGGGAAAATTCACGAGTAATGATAGTAATTTAGTAATGATGAATGGTTTATCCAATAATAATAATAATAATCATTCAAAATCAAATTCATTGATACATCAAAATGGTGATAAATCATCAAATCATTTACCCGAAATGGTTCTTATCACAAAATCGACAGCTGAACTCTTAAATACTTTATCTGAAACAACATTAGGTAAGTTGAGTGTATGCTCACATATATGCATGTATTTTAATGTATTATATTGGTTTTGTAAAAGTGACCTATCAGTCAGTCGTAATCAATAAAGAGACTGGGACAGTTGTGGGTTAATTAACGTTCTACTTTGCATATGACTGATGACTGCGTTAGCCCAAGTTGTCAAACTGTATTGCCACAAAGTGAGGTTGATAAGCTGAATAGTAAAGGAGTCAAAATAATGTAATAAAATTAATTATGAGAAGGATGAAATATTGGATAATATGGTTTGACAGGACGAAATGAAAAAGGTGTGTATGAAGAGACGCTGGATCGCAAAATCTAGGGCGAGTTAAAAGAGTGCATTTGGGCCGCTGTGACGGATTATGAGCGGTTTCATCCTATGTTCCCAACCACTTTTCACTGTTATCGGTGGTTATGATTGATTTGCATCAAATATTTTGTAACTGTTCCACTTTTAAAAAGATTAGTATTGTTTAACAAAGTCGTCACTGGCTTTAAGTTGTTTTTATTATAATAATTGTTTTAATGGGCCTGTGATTTACTGATTTGTTAAATTGGTTTTGTAGAATGTTCGGTTCTGTGTGGTTTATAGGTATTCGGTCAACAACTAAAGTAAGCTATCTTGTAGCCTATCATGTAGAACACCGAACAAAGCCAATGTGAGTGAAAACCTTATAAGATCATTCAGAACCACTCATATCCAAAATCCAACAAAGTCGAACAGCTCTTATAATGTTTAAAGTTCCAACTTCACTCCATATTTATTAACTCCATTAAACAGAGTCATTCTGGTTCTCAGATGTGTTGCTCTAAAACTACTAGTTCATGAATTTTTAATAGAGGTTTAGTTTCAATCTTATCTTTTACTTAAAGTATGTGTTAGAAATATCTTTCGCTGTTCTTGTTAGGCCTGAATTTACATCTAAGATTTTAATAACCAATAAGTAACCTATGGTTCTTATCGCTAGCCAACATAACAATGGAAAAAAGATACTGGTAATTAAAAGACTTTCGTCAATTATTGTATTTGGTGTTGGTTTTCATCACTAACTGAGATCATCTAGAGAATCAGTAAACTCTGAACAGTTGTTTTATTCTCAATTTAGTACTTCTATGTAATCAAATTCCATAACCCTAAGTAGGATCGAAATCCTGCTGCGAGCGCAATACTAATGGACCACTGAATCAGAATCCAATAATTAATTTTTTGCACCTCAGTCAACTTGTGATATTATGGAATCTTCGTAATTTACTGTTGGTGAGTTATTGTTTCAGTATCTATTCGTTTGGCCGTACAAGTTACAGCTTCTCACCAGAACTTTGGGAAAATCTATGCTTAGTGTTAGATTCCGGTTCAAGTACCTAAAACTATGTTCAGCTCTATTTATTATATATTTATTTAAACACAAGCATTGGTACAAAGCGGCACCAAAATGTATGTGCACCACATTTCATCATTCCATTTGTGTGGGGGATAGAATTCTGAACAGGCGTCCAAACCGACGCAGGTGGTTTTCTTTGGGGATCACTTTCAGAGCCTTTGATTCGGAGATCTAATCCACGAGGCAGTGCAGCAACGTTACGAGATGCAGTCCAATGGTAGCCGGTGACCAGCAATAGGCCATACGCCATTTGTTCCTTCAAGATCCAGGGGCCCATGTGCACCATTGGTTTGGAATCAGGGTTTCGCAACTCCCCTAGGTGGGTCCTCCATATCCACCAACCTGGTTAAAGCTCTGGACATTCGCTTTTCGCTCTCTCAATTTTATGAGCAACACTTCTGTTAGCGGGACATAGACTAGATTAAAGCATGCTCAATGCATGATTGCTTTGGTGCACGCTGATTGGCTAATTCTTATCCAATCAGCACTGGTCGATAGTTGGAGAAGACTCTAGAATCTTCTTATGTAAAAACTATAAATATACTGACGTTTTCCCTATTGTGCTTCCTACTGGCTTCTGACTTGCTATTTAGAGTATAATCTCTTTCCTGTTCAACCGTGTTTTGATTTGGGGACTTGTCGAGTGAATCGGTGTCCGAGAATACTAAGCAATAGGAATAGCTGGGTCACTAACCGTAAGAAGAAACAGGATTATAACAGTGGCGACGGGAAAAACTAAAGAAAAATGGCGATTTCTTTAGAACAGTTGCGGTTAATATTACAGCACCAGCAGAAGTTGTTAGCCTTGCAACAACAACTATTGAACACACTTTTCACTCGACCAGAAAATAAGAAATCTGTTTATGATGCAGTAACAGACATTTCAGAAGCATATCTAGTGGAGGGTTCAAATCCCTTTATACCTGAATCAGAACGTAATATTTGTAACGTTTCCGGCTCACAGCAAGAAAATCCTGTGCTGAATGCTCATAAAGTTGTGGCAATACGAGATTATCAAGAGCCAGACCCTGTAGATGAAGCCCGGAGTCCAGAATTGAATGAAGCACTACTGGTCCTGTCTAGCTCTGAAAATAACTTTCAGCTAGAACAAATTTATGGTCCACGTGATATTAACCAAGAAAGCTATGGGGACTCGTATTCAGAAAATAACTGCAGTGACACAACGAACCCAATTATACCGAATGTTACTCAAAATCATTGTGAGACAGAAACTTATATTGAATCAGCTTATCCGATTTCTAATGACAATGTATCAGACATGGGTTCTCAGAACAATGCATGTTATTTTGATGAAATTTCTCATAAAAATCAGGAAAATATATCAGCTGAGTCAAATTATGGTCAAAAGTCTAAATTAATTTTGTTAGATGTTGATTTCTGTAATGATCCATTATCCACTGATGAAATTTCTAATGGATTTGAAAGTAATGCTTCAGAAGAATTAAACCCTGACCTCAAATCAAAGGTCGTTCATTATCATCTAGTCATTCCTAGTGGATACGACATTCAATGCAAGAAACATCGTTTAAATAAAGTCCTATTATTTGTAACTTGGAGATATAAGGATCCGACATTGTTTCGCGGAGGAGGAGAATGTTGGAGAATTAAAAGTTATGCATACTTTTTTTTAAGAAAAATCAAAACGCCGGGAACAGACATGTCAGTCTCTGTGCAAGGAAAAAGTGATAATTCTTCATTGCCTAGACGATGGACTAATCGAAAGCACAAGCCAGTCACTCAGTCGCAGTTGGACCCTAGCACCAGATCCTACGAATCTGCTCAGAGGGGAGGTGTTAGCGGGACATAGACTAGATTAAAGCATGCTCAATGCATGATTGCTTTGGTGCACGCTGATTGGCTAATTCTTATCCAATCAGCACTGGTCGATAGTTGGAGAAGACTCTAGAATCTTCTTATGTAAAAACTATAAATATACTGACGTTTTCCCTATTGTGCTTCCTACTGGCTTCTGACTTGCTATTTAGAGTATAATCTCTTTCCTGTTCAACCGTGTTTTGATTTGGGGACTTGTCGAGTGAATCGGTGTCCGAGAATACTAAGCAATAGGAATAGCTGGGTCACTAACCGTAAGAAGAAACAGGATTATAACAGTGGCGACGGGAAAAACTAAAGAAAAATGGCGATTTCTTTAGAACAGTTGCGGTTAATATTACAGCACCAGCAGAAGTTGTTAGCCTTGCAACAACAACTATTGAACACACTTTTCACTCGACCAGAAAATAAGAAATCTGTTTATGATGCAGTAACAGACATTTCAGAAGCATATCTAGTGGAGGGTTCAAATCCCTTTATACCTGAATCAGAACGTAATATTTGTAACGTTTCCGGCTCACAGCAAGAAAATCCTGTGCTGAATGCTCATAAAGTTGTGGCAATACGAGATTATCAAGAGCCAGACCCTGTAGATGAAGCCCGGAGTCCAGAATTGAATGAAGCACTACTGGTCCTGTCTAGCTCTGAAAATAACTTTCAGCTAGAACAAATTTATGGTCCACGTGATATTAACCAAGAAAGCTATGGGGACTCGTATTCAGAAAATAACTGCAGTGACACAACGAACCCAATTATACCGAATGTTACTCAAAATCATTGTGAGACAGAAACTTATATTGAATCAGCTTATCCGATTTCTAATGACAATGTATCAGACATGGGTTCTCAGAACAATGCATGTTATTTTGATGAAATTTCTCATAAAAATCAGGAAAATATATCAGCTGAGTCAAATTATGGTCAAAAGTCTAAATTAATTTTGTTAGATGTTGATTTCTGTAATGATCCATTATCCACTGATGAAATTTCTAATGGATTTGAAAGTAATGCTTCAGAAGAATTAAACCCTGACCTCAAATCAAAGGTCGTTCATTATCATCTAGTCATTCCTAGTGGATACGACATTCAATGCAAGAAACATCGTTTAAATAAAGTCCTATTATTTGTAACTTGGAGATATAAGGATCCGACATTGTTTCGCGGAGGAGGAGAATGTTGGAGAATTAAAAGTTATGCATACTTTTTTTTAAGAAAAATCAAAACGCCGGGAACAGACATGTCAGTCTCTGTGCAAGGAAAAAGTGATAATTCTTCATTGCCTAGACGATGGACTAATCGAAAGCACAAGCCAGTCACTCAGTCGCAGTTGGACCCTAGCACCAGATCCTACGAATCTGCTCAGAGGGGAGGTGTTAGCGGGACATAGACTAGATTAAAGCATGCTCAATGCATGATTGCTTTGGTGCACGCTGATTGGCTAATTCTTATCCAATCAGCACTGGTCGATAGTTGGAGAAGACTCTAGAATCTTCTTATGTAAAAACTATAAATATACTGACGTTTTCCCTATTGTGCTTCCTACTGGCTTCTGACTTGCTATTTAGAGTATAATCTCTTTCCTGTTCAACCGTGTTTTGATTTGGGGACTTGTCGAGTGAATCGGTGTCCGAGAATACTAAGCAATAGGAATAGCTGGGTCACTAACCGTAAGAAGAAACAGGATTATAACAGTGGCGACGGGAAAAACTAAAGAAAAATGGCGATTTCTTTAGAACAGTTGCGGTTAATATTACAGCA